CCCCAAAACCCCAAAACCCCAAAACCCCGATTTTATAAATTTAGACTGAAACAATTATTATAGAAATAAATGGAAGGGAACTTGTATGATAGGGAAGTCTATTGGAAAGAACAGAGATTATTAGACCTTGTGCAAGATAGGATACATAAAGAACTTCTTCGCTGGTGAAGTGAGTTTTATAAGTGAATTCCTTTAGAAGCTTCAAAAGATGAGATTGAGAGGTGTGAAATTAAAGTTCCTAGTAAAAAGGTAAAGAAATAATCAATTTTAGAAAATATACGAGTTCCGCAAACACTTTAATCAAGGGATTCACTTTGACCAGACTGTTTTGTCACATTCTGATATTAAACTTGGAGGGAAGGCTGATAAAATTGCAAAAATATTGAAGCCAAGAATAATAGAAAGAATAATCATTGGTGATAGAGATTTTGGCTTAGTCGCACTCAACTCTCAAAATGATAAAGATATTTCGAGAGTGAGCAATTTGGTATCTTACGCCACTAAATTTGTGTGCATAAAAGGACTCAAATTGACAAGATATCAATTTTCAAAGATTGTCAATTCATCAAGATATGCAAGGATGGTGGAATTCCATTCTTGAGAAATAAATTCTGAAGAAACTAAATTCAAACATGGAATTGAATTCAGTATAAAATGAATCAACTTTCAAAATTGTGGAGTCCAAAGGAAGAGTGATTGGGGAAACCATCCAGAAAAGCTCTGCTCAATTTTTGAGGCAATATCCAACTCAAGTTTATTTTATTCTCTAGAAAAGCTTTTCTTAGGAAGACTAGACTTGAGCAAAAGCCATATCGAAGAGTTCATTGAGAAATGTTCATTATCCAGAATCGCAGTTTCTTTTGATTGAATTACTAGTCAGACTGTATACTATTTGACTAATAAAAAAACACCTTCTCAATCAAGTTAAGCAGAAATACCAAAGATATACATCACAATACTTATTTTACACCATTAAAACACAACTATTTTCATCTTCTAAATCCATAAAATCAACCAAAATTCCCCACCCAGGGGTTTTGGGGTTTTGGGGTTTTGGGGTTTTGGGG